TTGAAATTGCTTCAACAGCGGTAATAGCAACGGTAGTAGACTCAACATCTCATGGCATGGTTGCATTAGGTAATCTTACAGTGAGTGTATGGCCTAGAAAGGATACTCAAAACCTCTGAGCTTGCCTAAGTGCCCTAATAGGGGTTCTTTAGGACCGGCTCAAAGACCTTTTTCGAAACCTAGCTACAATAATAATAATAATAATAATTATTAAACAATGTTAAAGCAAGACACAATAGTACTCTAACTTCAATTTTATTAACCAAAAAGAAACTAAGGGACGAAAAAAGCTCGTTTTAGCACAACATTAAATCCTCTAAAATCCAAACATAGTCGTTCACGTCGCTTATAAAATCTTTTCGGTTTAATGGAGTAACAACGTGCAAAACGGAGGAGCTCAATGATTTCACTAATCACTAAATTTCGTCAAAAGAAGTAGCGTTTACTCCATGCTCCATCTTCGAGCAAATAGCTTCATCGTTCAAGTAACGATCCGTAGCTCAAATTAAGCTCGACTTTTCCTAAATACGTATGTCTCTGTAGCCAACGTATAGACTCGAATTGAAATATCATCGCTAAATCACTCTAATTGGTCGAATAAGTAAAAGAGATCTGAACACTTTGAAGGTCGGTCCATTCTAGTTCCGTTAAGCATTCAGGCGGCTAGATTCGTCCGGCACGAGACAAGGCATGTCCCTAACGTTAATAAGTAAACGCATTATCTTGTGCAATATCATGGGGACAAATCAATAAGGCCTAGGGCTTTTGGAACAAGTCATCCTGTTAGGCCATCGGTGAGAGAAAATAGATCCCGCTTCGGGTTTTGCAAAGTAGAAACAACCTCACTGTTTCTATGCCTACCGACGAAACTTAATATAAATATACAAAATAAATATATAACTAACATACTTACTGCAATTCAGAATTCAATTTATACCGATGCGCGCGGGAAATCTACAAGTAATAAATTTATCTCATATAGAATCTGTCAGCATATGCTTTATATGTAATATCTGCTACCAATAATTGGTCTAAATTAGTTTGCAACGGGACGTGAGTATTAAGAGGAGGAGATGATGGCTAGAGGTATTTAACTTTTACCTAAACAACGAGAGCTGTGGTAGACTAATTTCACATATGCGGAAAATCAGTCAGCTCCTCATGAGACTGTTGAATTGTCTAGCCCATTGTACTGACCAAATAGTACTTTGATACCTGACATGACTGTCCTATAAGAAGTTCGCTAAGGTTTTTTAGAGTAAGTTACTGAATTCCCCGTAAGTATCTGAAAGCACGCGAACTCACGTAGCATACGTATATGTTTTTAAGAGGGTACTTTTCCTTTCAACGAAATGGCATTTGCGCTAAACAACACAACGGTGAGTAAAACATGTAGGAGTTGTATGACATTTTGTAATCATGGGAAGCCGTATATAATTAATTCAGATACCCCTAAACCAGAAATTTGTCTATGCAACAACAAACGTTCGTCCCGAATTGGAATGCTTTAGAAAAATACCGGGAAAGTACGTATGACAAATGTCGATATACTTGGTTGTAAAATGAGCAGTATTTCAAAGTTGATCAGGCACGCTGATTCAAACAAAGTGATATCTGTTGTACAAAATTATAATGAGATTGACTCAACTAGGATTGTTTAAAACGCAATTTTATTTCTCGAAGTTACGTTCGAGTGCAAGAGCGAAAATATCCTTTGTGTTATACGACACACACTTGTTGAGCTGGCAGTTGTTAGAGGGCGCCAGCGGTCTCATGTGGAAGCGCTTTTCGCTTGAGCGCCATCGGCTAAATCGTTTAGCTAGAGCCCAACTAACAAAAAGAATAGAAGGGTTTGTAAAGCTTCGTGAAATTTTTGAAAAAAAATACAGGCTTACGAAGTTAAAAATATTCTCCACAACATTGCCTACAATGAACATTATTCCGGCGCATCTTATGCTAAAATTTATGTTAAATTGTTTTTCAAAGGTTCAAGACGCGTATAAATATATATATATATATATATATATATATATATATATATATCGCTTGGAGAAAGCTTATATATATATATATGCACGTGTATATGTGCCAATGCATTGAAATACATAATAATACATAAACCAAAAAAGGGAAGGATATCGATTCGTATTAATGTCAAATGCCGCAAACGTATTAGCTACTTGTCAATAATATATTAAATATCGATTGCCTGCTCTCAAACGTTTATCGATATTTACATGTGCACTTCTCTACTTAATCATCTTAACGCACATATGTGTATGTACACATATTGATCATAATAGTGTATACAATATAATTTGGCAGCTAGCGGCCCGGATATCTAACTGAGGAGAATATAAAAAATCGAGCTCGAATATAAAAAAAACCTAGAACTTATTTGGTTGTCAGGGGAATATTGATATTCACTCTAGTGATTCAGCTTGTTCATAACCTCGACATTATTATTATAAGGTATAATTTCATACTACCAGGTATTTATCCGGATCGTATCAGTTGTGTAGAAAATACTCGATTTTTTACGGTACTGTTTATAACTAAACAATTACGCCTGGACTTGAACAGTTTTCTGTTCACGACTTGTAGCATTAGCATACTGTAAAAGGTCACTACCGGCCATTACTGTGAAATAATCTATGTGCATTACGAGTCAATGCACCTCGTCTCGCAGGTAATGTTATAGCTAAATTGCCTTGGTTTTATTTACCATAAAGCCTAAGGATGCAGCCAGCACGACCTGACGCAAATCCATGTCATTATATGGATGTCTACACTACATTAAATAGTATAGGATAACTACATTAAATAAGTACGACATCTTAGAATTAGACTTTATCACATCAAGTGAGTATACCTCCCTACGAAACATACCTGGAACAAGGGTTTTTTTATGGTAGGTCGCACAGAATTTTCTATAATTGTCAAAGCTCGTTGTTTTGAAAAGTGATTTTTACGCCACTTAAACTTTAGAATGTATAAAAAGTGTATCTAGATCTTTTTTTTTTGTTTCACTCATTGAAACTTCCGCACTATTTATTCAAAAGGAATATACTTCCTTATTATTATGATCATGTCATCCTGTGCAACAGGGATCATCGAAACAAAAATTAAATTATAGAGATTAGCTCAGCGTAATGGGAAATATACGATGATGCATGTGCGTCTAATGCAGTTCTGTGTAAGGCGCTTACTATATGTTAACTTATACAGTATGCTGGGCCATTAAGAGAGCGTCGTTCTGCGACCAGTAGCACTCTGCTATTATGACTTCAGTGTTAACGACCTTAGTGCGCGAGGTAGATCTAAAAATAAGCCTAGAAAAATACTACAGTTTGCAAATTCAGTCCAAAAAGGGAGAAGCTTTTATTATGTTCCAGTTTTCTCAATGATGTAGCTTCCTTACACGTTTGAAGATTAAGCCCGTTCTTGGACTAGGAAATTCTTGAACTCCCGTATGATACTCCGGTTTTGTTACTCGTCAGAAAAAAGTATTATATCTAATATACTGCGCTAGGTTTTTCTTTTGTTGATTTTCTTTTGAGTGCAATAGTCTTTATTTTTTATATTTCTACGTATAGCAGAACTCTACTTATAGACGTAATTTTCTATCCCTACAGCTGCTATTTAGAAATAAGTTCATTTTAATACTTACGATCTCCTAGCCCTCCCGCACCCCCACGATACACCCCGTTCGCTTATCCAGCCGTACGCTGTTCGCTTATCCATCGACACGTCGCAATTTATGACAAGCGTCACTCAATGTTCGCGCTTATTTACCATCATCTCAGTTCAATGAAAGTAGCAGTACATTTTACGTCCTACTTCCAGGCCTGCCTCCCTCAATAAGCTCTATCTATAGTATACTCTCCGAGTCTGATGATGCCTGGCGTCGCTTGAAATTAATATCTAAACCTTCCTCTCATTGCCGCCCGTTTACTTTTCAGCGCCCCCGCCGTTAACAGCAGTGTTCGCTTCTGCCGGTGCGCCCCTTAGTAAAAGCGTTCCGTATCATCTCAGGCTCCTATTACCCCTCCAGGAGACAACTGAACGTCCGAGAGCCGACAAAGGAGGGGAGACGACCCGTACCGTTGTGCTGCTTTTCGTACGGTGTACTGCCGCTGCTTCTGGTACCGGCCGCTACTGCTGCTAGCATTCTCTTTCGGTGTTCTTTCGCTGTGTGCTGTGGTACCATGGCTCACAACAGGAGGTTCATCGGAACGTGCCACACCAGCACTCTTCCAGCGCTCTTCCAACACTTGCTGTGGTACGTCGCGTTAACTCCGCCTATTTAAATATGATTGGTGCGCGGCTCGCTGACGTCACAAGATGGCGGCCTGCGCGGGCTTCGGCCGCTAGACGGCGCGCGGAGCACCGTTGAGGGCGAGGGCAGGTTGTTGTGTGTTTGTTGGTGCTCAGTTAGAGTCGGGCGGGCGACTGAGCTGGTTCTGTGGCGTGCGAGCCGAGTGTCTGCGAGGCGATGTGCCGTCTGCCGTCAGCACGCGGCTAAGTTCGTCGCCAAAACCAAACCCCCGCAATGTCTGCGATGGATGTGCGACGCTGCCCTGGAGTCTGAGAACGACGTGCTCCCCAAGTGCAGGGCGCTACCCCCAACACAGTGTGAAATAGAAAAAAACGTGTGTGCGCGCAACGCCAAGCGGCCAAAGCCAGTGTTATTGTTCGATTTAATCAGGTCTTCTCAACAATCAGTCAACAACACGATAACAACAACAACAACAATTCGTTGGTCGTCATCAGTTGTGTTTTAGCATTAAACAACATAAGTCAGTGGCTGCTGCTCGAAACAAGCCAGCAAGACAGAGCTGCTGCTTTGGCAACAAGCTCGAATATTGTAGAAATAAATAAAAGAACGGGAAAAGTCGACATATATATATATACATATATATATATATATATACATATATATATATATATATACATATATATATATATATAAATTTGTTCTTTTGTTGATTGGAACGACAGAAGGAAAAAGTAAACAAAGGAAATTATCAAAATCAAAATTAGCGACGACCAAATTTCCACTTCTGATTGGCAATTCAGTGAAGGTGCATTGTTGTGGACGAACGACAACCGAGTAGAAGAATATATTCACATAAGAAAACAAGAAGCAATTGAGGAAAATTTTCAAATTACCATTTGCTGGTTTTTTCAGTGAGAAATAGTTTGTTGTTTGTCTCATCATCGAACGTCAACATCATTATTTGTATTGTCTTCGGTCATCGTCAACGTTGTGTTACTAGAAATAATACTTCAGCTAGCCACCACGACAACTATACTAAATCTATTATAAGAAAATCTACCGACAGCACTTCCAAGTACGAAACAAAAGAAATAGCTATAACTGCTGCCTTCGGTCGGCTCCGTGTTTGTAGAGCCAGTTCAAGCAACAGTAATAGTCAGCACAATACGACGTTATTCGAAAAAGCTTTTGTATCGATCTACTGCTGTCCGTTGTGTATTGTAGTAGTTTCTATCAATCAACAATTGAAAAATCGTCTCGAATAGTAATCATAACCGTAATACCAATCGTCATCATCATTGCTCAGCAGCAGTTCTTCGTGGTTTGTGAAGTGACAGCTAGTGTACTGTGTGAGTCGACGTGTGATCGTCGGCTGTGATTCACGTTGCTGGCGTTGATGGAAGGCGCCTCGGCGGACGGCCGAATCATGCACCCGGGCCACCTGGGCGCGTACGGGCCTCCGCTCGACGCCCCCGCGTCGGCCGACGGAGACCGTAAACATGATATTCAGGAGATACTCCAACAGATTATGAACATCACCGACCAGAGTCTAGACGAGGCCCAGGCAAGGTACGAAGCTTTACTGCTCAGATTCGTGAATCGTAAACTTCTCGTGTGCCCCCAGAGCTAGTCAACTATTACGTTGTTGGCAGTGCCAAATGCTCGCGCGGGTGCCAAGTTTAGCGTTTTCGGCACGGTTTGACTGGCCTCGCCAGCCGTTCGCCGTCACTCTGTTAACATTCGAATTGGCGTTTAGCTACGACTCGTATCTTTGTTGTTCCCCCCTTTTCCCTCCTTTGCCAACGCTGTCGGTCCGTGGACGGACAGAGTTCGGTGTGAGCGTGCGGTGTGATTGTGTCCATTGATGGTGTCTAGGAATCATACGATGACGATGTCACTGACGTCTTACGTCAGTGCAGCTGTCCGTCGCCCGGCATCGGATCGAGTGACAACAGCCAATTGGTCAATAGAGTTTTGCTACAAAGTGCCCATAGTGCCAGCGAGATTTGTGAATTCTTCAACCATTCGAATGTTGTTGCCCCGTTGCCGAGTGACGGCCGCTAGCTGGCTGTATAGGCGCATTCCTCTGCGGCGCAGGTGTCTTGTGGGGGCTCGGTTTGGTGGAAGTGTTTTTGGCCATCCTTCTTCTTTGTTTACCTACAATTTTATTTCTCTTTACTAGCCATTCTACTACATAGCCACTACAAAGTGTCATCTCTATTCTCCATTCATTAGCTGTGGTGTTGCGCGCTGGTGATTCACCGCAAAATCATGTGCGAAAAAAATTGTGCGACAGCCGACGACAACGAATTCCATTTCCCCGGAATCAGTGTGTTTGTATTGTTGTGTTCTGATGATGTTTTGGTTCTCCCTCTCGTTGTGTGTTGCTTTGGTATCTAGAAGTGTTCCACCGAGCTGGCCCCAATCCCAGTGTCGATATTTATGTGTGTGTGTGTGTGTATATGTGATTTCCTTCCCGGTGCTAGGCCTAAGTTCGATTCGCTCGATGTCTCATGTTGGGATTTTTGGCAATTTCAGGAAGCATACCCTGAACTGCCACAGGATGAAGCCGGCCTTGTTCAGCGTCCTCTGCGAAATCAAGGAGAAAACAGGTAAGATTTTCCGTACGAGTTCGTTTGTTTTGTTCGGCGTCGTCTGCTAGCCGTAAGTAGCCATGGGCGACGCCATCTTCTCTGTTTTGTTTTGGGCCTCTCTGGGAGGCGCGCGTTGGCCCGGTAGCGCGGCCAACCAATCCGCTGCCCAACCAAAAGACTGAACTATGATAATGCAACTGGCGGCATTCCCCGTGCTGCTGCTCTTCTAGTTATTCCAGCAGCAGGCAGAAAGCTTTTGCTGGCTAGTGTTTTTGAACACAGTACTGACAGCTGACAACTTGCGTCACGATGTACATATGAATGTGTTATATCTGATTGGCGCGCGGCGTTGCAGAGCATTTTAGCGCTCTATAGCTGACGTTGTCGACGATGTCGGTCGTCCACTCGGTGGCCATCACGCTAAGAGTAATAGCAGTGAATGGGACTGCCAAACGGTGTGCTACGCTGGTAACTTCTGCCTTCGTACGCAAATTTGTCGTCGGGCAAAAAAAGCGTGTCGCTGTAGTGGGTTGGCGGTAATGCTTGACGATTGAAGAAATAATGTTTAACGTGAAGGAGAAATAATGTTGGCAAGAAATAGACTTCGAGTTAGGGGGGGCAACGAACGTTTGATCGCGCGCTTTAGAGCTACCGGACGATCCAAAGCGCGCTTCACTCAAGTGTGCATATGTGTGCCTTCGTGTGTATAAGCAACTCATTTAACGACTGGGAGCCCAAGAGCGATAGAAGATTTATTCGGTAACGTCGTATCGGCGACGATACCGAGGGGTAGGCCACGTAACCGCTTCAATTTTGTTGCAAGATGCGCTTCGAAAGAAGAAGCAGCATAGTAGTAGCGAAGCAAGTGATCTTCAGATTTTTTTTTGTTAACAAAAACATTTCTTAAACTCATGAAATTTGAGAGGTACGTGAGACTATTTAAGAAATACGGAAAATGACCAAACAATTAATGGAGATGTTAGCAGTGACAACAATTATAACCCCCGTGCTCGCTCTTGAAATGATCAATGTAAGAATAGCTCTGTTATTGCGGGTCAGGTTTGTCTTTCGTTAGTTTGGGTAGCTCGTTCAGGGTAGCGTTAAAGGGACTTTATGATACTCTGCGCTATTTCAGTGCCCATAGGATAACGATTACGTTGTGGCAAATATATTTCGTATAGAACTCGTATAAAAGTGTACTTTTCTCATCAATGCACCTCTATGTCCTGGCGTTATTTCCGCAGTATGCCTAACAGTAGTTTCAAACAAACCAGCACCATTCGTCCGAGTTATGCCCGTGTGACCACATCAAAAGGACGCTACCGTGTTTGTTAACACAATAGCGTGCCATAAACGCCGTGTCGAACCGATAGCTGACGGTGCACGATCGAACGTAGATAGTGGTCTTTGTTTTACGGACAAAATGACTAAATCCATTGTTAACATCAGCGATCACAGGGTTTACAGTTTGAACGATTTCAGTGATGGCTTGTCGTCGATCGTGCTTGTTGCGTTTTGCTTCGGCTGCCTATAAAAGTTTTCGAAGGAGAGATGACGGCAGCAATGAAGGCGCGCGCGTACAAGCAGTGTTCGCAGTGCTACTAGCCGAGCCAGGCCGGTAGACCGGTCGGTCAGTGTCTCATCGTAGCACCATGTCATCCTTTGTGTGTTGACATTGTCTTTGCGCGCACTCTTATGCTGCTCACTCTGTGCGTGGCGGGTTAACGGCGCCGCGGTAGTCGTTGCGGTCGACTGATTAATTGGCCATTTAGCCCTACTTAGAAAAGCAGATAGTCAACCAATCAGCTAGCGGCCGGCAAGCCGTCAAAGGCAGTAACACTACTAGGCAAAAAATAATCTGCAAGAACAACAACAGCGGACGCAGCAGCGGCTGAGCGATTCTATTCCATTTCATTCACGCTACAGAATGGTAACAGCGATGGTAGCAATGGAAGTGATATTTGTATGGCCGTGGTCTAAGTCCCTTAATACTGGTCTATATGGCAACGGCGCTCGTACTGTTGCCGCTGGCAGTTGAGGACGGTGACATCTAATCTCAATGTGTCTATCTCTCTGAGCGACTGTCTGTGAATCGTGTATGTTTTTGTCTACCGACTAACAGGTTAGAATGACACGGCGTTTCCGAGCCGTTGCTGCCGGATTGACGCTGATAGACGCGCGCGCGCACTGCTGCTGCCCCCTCCGCCTCCGTCGCCGCTGCCGCCGCCGCCGCTGACGGTCGGTTGGACAGACGACGGATCGCCCCCGTCGCGAGATCAGGCAGAGAGGTGGAAAGCGGAAGACATTGAGTGCGTGAGAGATGATAGAAAAAAATCACAGAACAGACGGAGACATTCAGACGATGATAAGAACAACGAGACCGCTACCACTACGGCGGGCAAAGGGAGAACGGCCAGGTTACCCTTCCAATTGAAAGCTATTCGAATGTACCTGATGTAGGCGATGGCCTTATGACGGCCATGATGATGACTGAGAATGCAGTCGCAGCAGTAGAGACCGTTTTCTCTAATACCTTTTTCATATTGATTCAATCGAAAACATACCCATACGCGCACGCACGCACGCACGCTTGTGCATGGCCTGCTTCCAGTGTAGATTCACGACCGAACTGCATAAATGAAAACAGTTAATTAGCTAGTTAGAGAGCCAACTGTGAGCGAGATTAATGTTACTACTTCTCAAAAATCCGAATGGCGTACGGCTCTTATGAGTCGAAAATTATCAATTCGTCGAGCTAATTAAGAAGTATTATACACAGTTCCCTTGCTTGATGATGAGTATATGCCATAAAATGATTCTGTAGATGTGTGGCTATTATATTTTGGCGCTGGCTATATAGGAGTTATGAATGAAACCAGCTGAGCAGAGGATGATGACTCTTATGCCTATGTACCGTTCCCTTAATGGACAGATTTATGGTGAGCGTTTTTGACTTGCGTGTATCTCATTATACTTTGATGTGTATGAGGAAGGATGGAACCAAAAACTTTGCATCAGCTGTGACGAGCCGGCATTAAGTCGGCAGTTGTCCCGCGAATGCGCGAGAAATAAAAGCATTAACGAGGAAGCGCCTTTGTTTAGGTCGAATTTGTGAGTGTCGTGTGAGGACAAGACAGGACCATCGGGTGTCTGATGCTCTTGTGTTGTTGCTCTTAGCGCTCAGAAGCTCCCGTACAGGGGTCTGTAGAAGACGCGAAAGGGCTGCTGTGTCATAAACTGTGCACTATTTCAAGCTAACGTGCGACTGTTAAACGATCAACCGAATATTTTACGCCCCTATGTATGTGTCGTATGATGTTCATGTTCCGGGGCTTTCTTCTATTTGTATTGTATTTCTAATTGTCGTCCTATCGTTCCCTAGCGCATTGTTGATGACGACTCGACATTTGTCCACTTGGCCTTGTCCTTCATCTAGGTAAACGCCACCGTCTTTACTAAGCAAATAGCACAGTCTGCGACCTATAGAGTGACAAGCCGACAGCTAGGTGCTAGCTCTCCGAATTGTAGACCCCTCTGCGATGTCGATAAAAGGAAGACCTATGTTTCAGTAATGTTACTCGTCCAAACTTACCCGGAGATCATTCTGCGTGTGAAAATTTACATGACGCGTAGGGTTGGGCATCTCATTTGACGGCAAGTCGTACTGGGAAAGCCTTCAAGCCGAGAATTGGGCTAACGCTAATAGACAAACAGACAACTAGAAAGAAAAACAAACCTGTTTTACGGTGTTAGTTGACCTTTAGTCAACTTGAGCTGATATGACTTCGTTGCTTTTTTGTTCAGTTTGGATGCGATGCTGTACTCCACGCCCAGTTCACCTGGAAAGTAGTCGATTCAGCTAGTGATAATGGTGTCCTATTTATTATTATTGCCCCCAAACGATACTGTAAGAATATAAGTGTCGATGTTTATCTACTGCTGTCGAAGCCGATACCAATTTTCTGACTCCGATAGAAACAATGACAGCGGCTTACGGAAGTCTGGAAGCGTGTCTTTATCATTATTGGCAGTAGCAAAACCGTAAGTAGAACACGACTACTATCAGTAGGAGCGCTACAGCCGTCACCGGCAGCGACATCATTGCTATGTACATTTCGCACTGCTACTGATCCACAGGATCCTTGACACCGCGTAAGTTATTGAGTACTATATTGTTGAAATAGCAAGAGTTGACATTCTGTCATTCTTCGGCGTATACTTCTCTCCGGTGGCTTTAAAACAATGGAGTGCCATAAACTAGCGGGGATAGAGCTGTTCGTACCTGCTACTCGATTTCGACGTATCGGTAGGAGCATTATTGTTGTTGGTAAGGGCATAGGCTTGACTACGAGTGCCTCAAACAGCACGAGAACGAACATAGAATGCTAGCACATTTTCTCATCCTTACAACCATCATGCATAATCGTGCCTGTACGTATGTACCTGTTTCTAGAATATCTGTGTGTACATATTTATGTGATGTGCCTACGTAATCACATAATTGGCAGAGGAGCGATCCAGGGGGTGCGGTGGTGATATAGGCAATGTCTTCGAAATTAGAAGGGCAAGATACAGAAAACGAGGAGTGAGCTGCGGTCCGGTGGCTTTAACACTAGCAGCAGACGCCCATAGAGGAGGCTTGTCTATTGGGCAGTCAGTGAATGCACTGCATATACATCTATATACGCACACACGCACACATACCGATGTACAGAGACAACCACGTATAGTTGCATAGCCACACTCTAGTCTAAATGAAGAGATAATGGCATCGATCACAATAATGCCCTGGAATTTAGCAGTGCTTCGCCTTGTTTCGAGCTTTGTCTTCCTCTTTATTGCTTGGTGATGATTATGATGGGAATGACTATAATGTTGACGCGATAAAGCTGCCGCTGATGTTAATATTAGCGGTAATGCTGTTCAATGCCGTAGCCATCGTTTGTTGCTCTGCGTTTTTCGACCATAGACGTTATTGCTATTGTTGATTCGGACGGGGAGGTCATGAACCGCAGACA